TATATATATATATATATATATATATATATAAATGAAAAAAAATATAAAAAAAAAGCTTATAATGGGGATCTGTAAAGTTCACTTTGTCAAGTAAACAATGGTTTTCAAATACAAAAGCATGCATATTTTCGTTGATGAGAGGTATTTGAGTAATGTTTACTTGGTTTTGTATCTGATCAGTTTAATAAGGTTATGGTTGTATTACAAAATCTGCAGGTGGGACAATTAGGCTAAATTTGTCATATTAGTTTGGTGGTGAAGTAACATGTTTTCTCTAGTTTAATGCAGATCAAAGCACTTCGAGGAGCACTAAATTGGGGGGTGTGTTGTTCTAGTATATATTTTGTGTTGTTTAGTGCTATAACTTATTTTGGGTACGTGGGTCTGTTAATTTGGTTATTAGATATTTATGATATCATGAAGAATTAATTATAAATATGTCATACCCTTCTACTCAAAATGCAGAGACATAGTTATTGGTTTGTCCTCTTTGCATTTGTGAGTATGACTTGTAATTTTCTTTTCTTAAAAGGAAAAATTGCAATCACCTCTAATTTTCAAAAGTTACTAATCTTCATTAGAATAACATCGTTAGTTAAAATAAAGGAAAGAAAAAAAATAAAAATTAATTTATATTTTGTCAATCATATATATGTCTATTTTTTTGTGTTTGAATTACTATAATATTTTTTTTCTTTATTAAAATTTTTATTATTCTTTAATTTTATAAATAATAATTACTCAATCCGTCGTTTGAAATTGTTTCTTGTAGTTGATATATATTTTAAATAACAACACACATAATATTTAGTATATAATTAATTTAGAAGTTAAAATTGAATAAAATGTTAAATCTCATTCAATTGTTAATGTTCACAATAATTTGTTCTCTTTAAATATAAATAATGTTGTCTTATATAAAGAGTTATATGTGTTACTTAGATAAATAAATAAAGGAATTTAATGTTTACTTAAAAATTAAAAAGGAGGTATGTGTCATTTAAAAACACCTATGAGAGGTCAATACAATTTTCTCTAAATATATATACACGTATGTTTCTTTGCCGGCAAAAAAGAAATCATCCAAGTATAAAAATATCTTTTATCAGCACAAGCTTGATTTGAATCATAAATTTATAAAATGTTGAATTCATAAATTATATATTATTAATTTGTTTTTATTTACACTTACTACAGTATTTTACACAATTATTTGAGTTTGCGTTGAGCCCATCAATCTCAGATTGCAGGTGTTCATGTTTGGTTTTCTGTGGAAGAAAATGTGCTAAAAAATAGGAACCCTAATCTACAGGATTATTCATGATGGTCTAAGGTAAAGGAAACACTGGTATGAGAAAGAAACTACTGTTAGAGAGAAAATTATTATCTTTATATATAATAAAAAAAATACAGGTATAAATTACTGGTTACAGAAAACATTACTTTTAATCTGTTTTTTCTTTTATATACTTTTCAAAAATCGTTGAAACTCAAAAAATATATACATTACACTATTAAATATTATAAAAATAACAAAATAGATATCAATAACATGATCGTCAGATTTATCAAATGAAATCTCACTTAATAAATCTAAAGATTTGTTATTATTTATTGTTATTTAATTTTTTGTGAATATAATTAATATTTAACAGTGTAATATATATATTCTTTGAACTTTAATAACTTTTAAAAGATACATAAAATTAAAAAAAAAACATAAAAGATAACGTTTTTGCATTATAAAAGATAAGAATTTGTATACATGTATTTTTAAAAATAGAATATATACACAGCCAAAAAAAAATATATGAACCAAAGCTAGCCCCGACTCAAATTCAAGAACTTGTAACTTAATTTCCATCCTTTGAGAAGAACCGTCATTCACATTAACATTAAAGCAATAGGAAAATCATATTAACATTCCATAAGAACTTGTATATATGCACCCTGTAATATAGCTTAAACAAATTATGGGATGAGTTGAGGCTGAAAAGAGCAACCAGGTGTGTAGCGGGGGATATTGCAGATTTCAACCAATTTATAGCAGATATTGCAGATTTGAAACCATTTGGGATGCTTGATTGTTGTACTCAAGATAGAAGTTTCAGGCAGCTAGTTGAACAATCATGGGAAGAGATACAGGTGATGGTTGGGGTTGTATGTACTTAAAGAAAAATTGAAGAGACTCAAGAAAAGCATTAAAATATGGAATGTTGGACAGTTTGGAAATATCCAATAAAATCTCAAAATTGTAATTGAAAAAATTAACGCATTTGACTAGAAGGAGGAAAGGAAAGAACTTCCTGAAAGAGAGAAAAAAAGATAAAAGAGTGGTGCAGGAACAGTTTTGGCAACTGGCCTCAGGCAATGAATCCATGCTTAGAGAAAAGTCTAGGATCAGGTGGCTCTCGGATGGCGATGTAAACACCAAGTACTTATGGTGATCAACTGAAAACAAAGGAAGAATAACTTAAGGAAGGGGACTGAAGATAGCAGGTAACTGGGTGTAAGATCCGAGTGAGGTAAAGGAAGAAGTTAAACAGTTTTTTGAGCAAAGATCCAGGGAAGATAAGTGGCAAAGACCTATATTATATGGGATAATGTTTCAGCGTATTACAACAGAGCAAAATGTTGGCCTTCCCTCACATTTTGATGAAGAAGAGGCTAAACAAGTTGTGTGGGACTGCGATGGTGCCAAATATCCGAGCCTAGATGGTTACAATTTCAATTTCATCAATCATTTTGGGTTATTTTAAAAGGTGAAATTATAAGGTGTTGGAAGAGTTTTATGCCAATTGAAGGCTATCAAGAGGGTGTAATTCTTCATTTATCACTTTAGTCTCGAAGTTAGTGGATCCAATAGGGTTGGATGACTATAGACCTATTTCTTGGGTCAACTGTATCTACAAGATCCTAACTAAAATTTTATCAACCAAAATTAAGAAGGTCCTTCCTAGCATCATTGATCAATCACAACTCACCTTATTAAGTGGCAAAAACATGGTGTCTTGGTTGCAAATGAGGTACTAGATGAGGCAAAAAAAAAAAAAAGGGAGGGGAGGGGGGGGAGGTTGTCTATTTTTTAAAGGTTGATTACGAAAAAGCATATGACTCTATTTGCTGGGTTACAATACATACTTCAGAGATTAGGATTCTATAGCAAGTGGAGAGACTGGTTATAGAGGAATGTTTATCTAGTACGTGTTTGTGCTCATTAATGGTAGCCTAACAATTGAATTTGGATTGCAGAAGGGGTTAAGACAAGGGGATCCTCTTGGCCTTTTCCTCTTTGTTGTTGTGGCTGAAGGCCTTGCTAGTTTGATGAGAACAACAATAGAGAAAAATCTATATTTAGAGTATAAGGTGAGCAAAAAACATGTAGAAGTCAGCTTGTTAGAGTATGTCAATGATATGGTCTTTTTGGGTGAGGCTAATCTCAACAACGTGAATGTCATTAAATGCATATTGTGTTGTTTTGAACTTGTCTCAGGTTTAACAATGAATTTCTTCAAAAGCAAATTTGGGGCAATTGGAGTTGAGACAAGTACCGTAGAGTGATTTGCCACTATTTTAGATTGTAGGATTATGTCTTTACCATTCCTGTATTTGGGCATCCCAATTGATGCAAATCCAAGGAAGGTAGCTACTTGTATACCAAACATACAAAAAATAAAGAAACGGTTATCTTGTTGGAAATAGGACTATTTCCATGGTAGGAAGAATCTATCTAATTAATTCAGTTTTATTTGCACTTCCTTTGTGCTTTCCTATCCTTCTTAAGGATGCCTAAGTTAGTCATCAAAGAAATAGAGAGCCTGCAAAGAAATTTCCTTTGGGGGGTGAGGAGGGGCAAAAAAAAGTTCCATGGATGAGGTGGAAAAAGGTGTGTTTCCCAAAATTACATGGGGGGCTAGGAGTCAAAAATATAGAAATGATTAATTTATCTTTGTTGGGAAAATGGAAGTGGTATTTATTCCATCAAAGAGATAGCATTTGGGGGAAAATAATTGATTCCAAATATGGTGGCTAGGAGAAGTTGTATAGTGCAGAGGTTAATAAAAATGTCTCAATATGGTGGAAGGATTTGAACAATGTGTGTGAGGGGCAGCTCTAAACAAGATGATTTGATAATATGGTGGAAAGGAGAGTTGGAGAGGGGTAGTAAACAAGATTTTGGCTTGATAATCGGATGGGAGACCAATGTTTGGCTATGACCCACCCAAGACTTCTCCAGAACTCAAAGCAACAAGATCGGATAATAAATGTGGGATATTAGGATGGTGAAGTTTGGATCTCAGATTTTAAGTGGAGAAGGAGGTGGTTTTGCTTGGGAAGAGGATCAATTGAACAATTTGTTGTCCATGTTACACAATATTAAGCTAGTTAAAGGAAATCAAGGTACACGAATTTGGTTACATGGGGCCAATGGGGTATATACAGTTAATTCAATGCATAAAAGTCTACATAATCTAAAATTTGGTTCAGAGTTTGATACAATATCAAACCAGAAAGATTCTCCCTAAAGTTGCGGTTATGATCTAGAGGTTGAACCAAAATGGGTTGCCAACTATAAACAATCTTATTAGAAGGAATATGCATCTACTAAAGGGCGAAAGTATATGTAAATTCTATAATACTTGGGAAGAATCAGTTGTACATCTTTTTTCTCATGCGGGGTGCATGATTGATTTATTGTGGAAAGACTTCTACAATTGGGCTAATGTATCCATAGTGCTTTCGAATTCAATGTCCAACACTACAATCAAGTACCACATAAATTTATTGGGTTGCAATAGTGGAAAGTGGTATGATGCACAATTGTATGGAACATATAGAGATATAGAAATAATTGCAAATTTAGAGGCTTTGATGTTGATCTTCAAAAGTTAAAACAAGACATTTCTTTTACTTCATGGTCATGGTTGAAGAAGGATCTAAGTTTTTATTACAGTTTTGAACAATGGTTTGTTCTTCCTGGCTCGTGCTTATGGAAACTATAACCCTAGAGTAAAACTAAAATATTCAAACAAGTAAGGTGTGGTGAACAATGGCATAGAAATAATGATGAGGTGAATATATAGTGGTTGTACACATTCAAAAGTGGTCTCCTTTCATGTGCCTATTGAAAAACAAAAGCAACGAATAAAGAGAAGTTATAGTTGGGGCTTGTTCGTTGATGAAGTAAATAGCCAATAGTCTTGGTTTTATAGTTGGTTTGGCATAGGCTAATGGTTTGATTTTGTTTTAAGTGCATTAAAATAGGTAAATGTAGAGGACTTTTGTTTTGGAAAAGAGAATATGTTTTACTTCTTTGATTTTAATTGTATTCTTTATAACTTGTTGGTCTTCTTGGCCATGAAAGGGTTGAGTACCCTATACCCTAGATCCTCTTTTTTAATGAAGTTTTATTTGCAGTTAAAAAAAATCCATAAATTTGAAACATGTGAATCACCATTCATAATAAAATCCACTTAGCTAGATAAGAAAAATAATTAAGGATATACTTTTGAAATACATAGTAAAATTAAACTATAAACTTAAGAGTTTCAGTCAATTAGGATTAATACCAGGATACTGAATTAGTGCCTGAGTTTGACCGTTCCTTTCAAATATAGAAATTTTTTCCACAGTTCCAATTTCAGAGAACACCTGTAACAGGTATGTATGCCATCAGCATTGAGTACAAAGTTTTTTCTTTTTTTCTGAGAGAGAGAGAGAGAGAGAGCATTACAAAGTTAACCTCCTATAAATTTGCAAAATTTAAAGAGATTGAGCTATAAAAACTCACTGCGTGAAGAACATCCACATTGACATCATATTGAAGATTTTTAAATGAAGCCCAAAGCACGTGATTTTCGGGAGGTTGAAGCGTTGCATGCTGAACATCATAGATTGTTATTTGTTAATTTGTTAGCACATATATATTATAAAAACAAGCAAAAAAAAAATTACTAGAGAAAAAAATAATAAAATACCGGTAATGGCCCATCAATAGAATACTGACTAAGGGGAAGCATAGGATTTGTGTAGTCCCTACAAAGTCATAAAAGTATAATCAAGCACTAACATTAGATCGTATCTAGAAAGCATTCATAAAATGGAAATTTTAATGTGCATATTGAAACAATGCCATGCAAGAATCAAAGCCTAAAAAGAATGTACGTAGTTCTTGAAATACCAAAATGGGTATAACAAGCAAAACCACAAGAGCTTGTTAATTCTAATTCTTAAAATGCAATAATAGAAGATGCTTATTCATGCAACTTTATTTTTTTATGGATAAAAATACAAAACAACATTTAATTACAATTATTATTACTACCTGGTACGATCAGACTGAAATTTAATATTTAGATCTTGATGTGCTGAGTATGAAATGCGCAAGTCAATATTTCCAACATGATCCGGGAGATAGTGTCTGGGTATAGCAAATTTAAGATTTTTTATCATGCAATCACCACAATTAATGATGAATGTGAAGAACAATGGAGGAAATATATATAAAAAAAATTTATTGCTTACCTAGGTATGCTTCTTCTGTCCAAAACATCCTTAGCCAAAGAAGCAGACTTAATATCATTATATTGAACCAAAGCCTGCCCAGAAATAAAATAACATAGAGTGAATATAAATAATAACAAAAATATAATTAGAGAAAATTAATCCTATTTTAAAAATATGATTACATGTCATGTCATGTAGAGATTAATAAAATCGTATAATGACACATTGAATCTAATTCACTAACCTGAAAACCTGCACTCTTTTCAAATGTAGAAATCTTTTTTACAAAGCCATATTCAGAAAAGACCTAAATAAAGAAATGTATCTTACCCAAATTAACACATATATTGACATAAAGAGAAAAGGTCACACAACATACATTTTATCCTAAACAAAAAGTGTGCAACCCCACAAATTCAAATAAACTATATAATTAAGAGTTTATTTGGATACACGATAGAAACATTTTTAAGAATTTTTCTATTGAAAATAAAAAATTTATATTGTAAAAAAAATTTAAAAAGTGTTTTTAAATTGATCCAAACAAGCTCTAAGCAGGACTTACCGAGTGAATAAGATCGATGCCTATTTTTCGGCCTTGGAGGAGGCCTTTCATGGTTACCAACAAGGTATTTCCTTTACCGAATTTGTTAACAGCAATATCCGGTCTGTCAGAATGTTGAACATAAACAATTCTACCACGAATCCGCATAGAATCCGAGGACGAAGCATAATGTGAAACCATTGAAATGGCTTGATTTATATCCTCCTGGTGAAACATTTAAAATTAACAGCTAAGAAGAAGACCCTGAGTTTAAAAACTACTTGAACAAGTGCACTTGGTAACTCTATATATTTTGTATAGAAAAAAAAAAATAGTGTCTCTCTGTAGAAAAGTGATAATTTATAATTATTCATTGTAAAATATAAAAAATAAAATAAAATAAAATCAATTAAAAGAAACCACTATGTAATTAGTAAAAGGTTCGTATGAAAATGGAAATCAAACTGATTACTAAAAAATGGTATCTCCTTTTTATATAATAATATAGATTATTATGATTATATAACACATATTGTCTTATCGATTGTCACCTGCATAGAGTTCTGATTAAAGAAAAAGGATTTAGTGAAGATACAAGATTGAAATAATCTAAATGAAATCCAATATTGTCTATATATACCCTATTGAACTTCACTTGCATTAGTTTCCACCTGGCTTCTAAAACCATCCATTTACTAATTAATTCATTTATCTTGGCAAAATGAAAATCTAAAAATTTATTTCCATTCTATCTCCAAAATAAATTTCCATATATCTTCGCAATCTAGTCACTTGTATAAAAACCTAGGAAGCAAGATTACTAAATGTCAACCACAACAAGTTAATTAAAAGTTTAGAATTAAAAATAAATTTAATAGTAGACTAGACAAAAAATAATCATTTTTTTTAAGTATTATGTATATTATCTTAATAAACTTATATTTTATAACAATTTTATATATACTTCCTTTTTAACATGAAGTACACGATTTTTTTTCTTTATATAATTTCAAAATTGTGACTAAAAATTATAAAGTCAGGAGTAATTATAAAATATTATTTTCTTGAAAGATTACAATTAAAAAAGAAGGAGAAACTAAAAATATTAAAATGTTAGTATGAGCACACAGAAAAATAAATCAAAATATAACATTAATAATATTTGTATGATGTCATTAATAAAAATAGGAGATATTTGATAAATTAAATAATTATTTCATAAATATTGTGGCAGTTTTAAGGAGAACCGTCATAATGTATTATTTTGTAAATATTGTGGCAGTTTTAAGAGAATCGTCGTAATGTATGTTAAAAATAATAATAAAAAGAATTTCTTAGTCATTTTAATTTGTTACTTTAATTTCCTTCAAAAAGTTCCCTGAAAGTGAAACCCTTGAAAAGGAGACGCACCCACCATCGCGCGCACGAGACGCACCCCACCAACGAGACGCACCCACCACCGCACGAGAAGCATCCCGCCACCGCACGAGAAGCATCTCGCCACCGCACGAAATGCACCCACCACCGCACG